AAAGAAAAAAAAAAGAAGAAGAAATGGACAAGCAATTGAAGTGCTCTGACTATTGCACTTATATGCCTATTGCTAGGAAAGATTTAATTGCTTCAACACTTGTTCAATTCTGAGATGGGGAAAATTTAAAACAATACTAAGCTCGAAGCTAATAAGGGATGCTAACCAGAAACCCCACGTACAATTTATGGGACTTTTTCAATGCCCAGCTTATAAGGAAGTACTTGATTCGTTGCCTACGAAAAATAGTAAGTTACTGACACCAAGTCAGGCAAAGCCGTCCGTTATGAGTACTCTGCATCATTTCATTTCTGTCTGTTTGGGTAACAATTGTACGCACTTCCATTTGATAAACATCTCGCTCTCTCTCTCTCTCTCTCTCTTTCTCTCTCCCTCTCTCTCTCTCTCTCACTGTCTTTATCGCTGACCTAGCAACTGTACTAAAACGAATACAATTCGTGTTGTACCCATAGGTATGGAGTTCATTTACACCAGTTTATCTTGTACGAATGCCAACGAGGAAGAAACTCTACAGAATCATGTAGAAATTTATTGAAAGTGTTTGGTACGGTTTCTGGTAGAACATGAAGAAAGTTGTCCGAAAAATTTCTTATAACTAATTTCGATCTTTCTGATAATCCACACTCTCGGCGATCGCCTTTGATCGATGGAGATACAGTGAAGATCATGTGAGAGTAAAATTCTTTTAGCCCAACATTAGGGATTGCGGAAAGATTTGAATCGGTTCAACAAACCATTTTGAACTGTATTCGAAAACTAGGATCTTGCTTTATTTTAAAAATAGACAGAACTTCTCGGTAGACATATTATCTTATAGTTATACTTTGTCTTTGTATGGTTTACGATTCATGAGAGCCCAAAAATATACTTATAAAGTCCAAGTTTCTCAAAGCCACTATTTTATAGCAAATTTTTATTACAAAATGCTAAAAGTTAGACCTTGTTGTCATATAAAGTTTTGTTTTTTCTATGAACTTTTATATTGAAGCAGGTTCAAAAAATTGTCCCATTCCAGTCAAATTTTCCACGTTCGTTCAGTATGCCGAAATACTATTTTTCATCAAATTATGTTTGAAAAAATTTTCTATACATCGACTTTTTCGCTTCATATAACAAGTGATGATAAAGATAGTCCTTTCGAGTCCATTTTCAACAAATTTCAGTAAAATATTGCGAAAATTGCGATTTGCAAATGTTTGTGCGATGCACGTTAATCAGTCGGGTAAACAAATAGTTGATTCCATAGACCCATGAATGGACAGACCTGCTTAAATTGATCAAACAGTGAAAAGTCGAAGGCAGGAAGAGTGATGAACCTTGATCAGACAAATAATAGATTGAAAAAGCTATGGGCGGACAGACATAATTAAATTGATCACGCCGTAAGGTACATGAAAATTGGCAGGCAGGTTGACTAACGAATGTTAATCAGACAAATAATAGATTGAAAAAGTCGGTGGACGGACGGACATGTTTAAATTGATCAAACCGTGTGGTACCTGAAAAGTGGAAAGCTGGTTGAGTGATGAACGTTAATCAGACAAATAATAGATTAATCAAACCGTCTGATACATGAAAATTGACAGGCAGCTTGACTGATGAACGTTAATCAGATAAATAATAATTTGATAAAGTCGATGGACGGACGGACATGTTGAAATTAATCAAATTGTGTGGTACATGAAGATTGGCAGGCAGGTTGACTGACGAACGTTAATCAGATAAATAATAGATTGAAAAAGTCGATGGACGGACAGACATGTTTAACCGTGATTGATCAAACCGTGTGGTACATGAAAAGTGGAAGCTTTCGGTCTGTTGTATACATCTACGTAAATTTAATAGGGACTTGTGTCGCAGGTAAACGGTAAGTAGGGATACCTATCAAATGAAGACCTTAATCGAATCAAACGGCACGTAGTGACGACTTCTGCGAACTAACGGCCCGCCGTTCCTTTAGGATGTTTAGTAAAGTTTTTATATTTCAAATTTTTTTTTCTTTTCATTTTGCTTTATGTACTTATTTAAGCCGTCTCTTTTGCCCTTTTTTCTTTGACCTACGATCCAATGAGACGTCATTTTCTTAAATGTAAATTTGTTTTAATAACTATTTAATTTTTCTTTTGCTTTTATTCAATCTTCCATGTAGTTCACAGTTCAACATCAACACAATATAAAACCGATATTTCAACAAAGTTATTTGTTGTTCTACTTCAGGCAGCATATTTAATGGAATTCAGTCAATTACTGCTACTGCAGTCTTTATTATAATAAAGTATAATTTCTTATTAAATATGTTTTATGCAAAGTGTATATATAAAAAGCAAAAAAAAAAAAAAAAAGAATAACAAAAACTTTCAAAATATATTCGTACCTTATATTTTAAAAACATTTCATTATGTACTAAATTAAATTACGTAAATAGAGCATAATAATAATAACAATTATCTCAATTAAGCTAAGTGAATGATTTAGATCAATTTAAAATTCAAAAGATTTTGCAATTGTTACTAAAAGAAATCAATTAAATAATGCAATGGGTATAATGACTAAGATCATTCAAGTATTATATAACGATACCTCGACATTTGAACGTAATCGGTCTCGGAACACCATGAAAATCTTAAGCAGAGGGAACTTTGATTTTGAACCGACTAAACTACGCCTTTATGTGACAACAACGCACTTTTTAGGGCAGTGGAGTAATATCGACTAGAAATGCTCTGCAAATATTAGGAGAATATAACCGCAAGTCTTAATTTTTAACTGGGACTACAATGATAAACAAGAAGAAACTCTTCACTAAGATGCCATGTGAAAGTTATAATTTGCTTAAAACTTCTGCAAGTTATTTCCGTTTGGTATTGAAAATAGGTCAAATTGGTCAAAATCATTTTCTGAATTGATCTAGGCATGTCTGTCCCTCTGTTCATCTCGCGTCTGTTCAGGTAAATTTATGTTCAACCTGCAGGCCGCAATTTTTGAGATATTTCGATAAATTTTAGTACAGTGACGTCCTATGACCCAAGGACAAACGCCATTTTTTCGACCCCCCTACTCCCCATACAACACCTTATGCTGAAAAGGTTTTATATGGAAAAAAATTGCAATTTTGGAAAGTTTCTCGGCAAAAGTGAAGAAGTAGTACTTTTTTGACATTCTAAATAGTTGTGGCCCGACTGGGGCAATTTTTGAAACCCTTCTCAGTTAAGGAAAACTGAAAGGCTTATGACAGAAAGGTCAAATTTTCAATTCTTCATAATGAAAATTATGTAATAATATTAAATTTAATATAGAAAAACTAATCGTAACACATTTGGAGCATCTCGGCCTATTTTTTGAATCCTACCCTAATAATGATTTTCACGAAAATTGATCCTTTGCAAAGCAGAAAAGTGTAAGTTTTAATATGTGGCGATGAAAATTGACCCATGATGGGCAATGTGGTGTAGGGCATTTAATGAACAGTCTTGTCCGACTATAATGCTCTGATTTGTTTTCAAATTGCAGATGTTAACTTGAAACAAGGGCTTGCAGTAGGATGATGTGGAATCAGTAAATTGATCGACAGATGGATTAAATTGATTAAAAATTTCGCGTTGACCATTTCTGATGACTGCTACATCCTTCAACTGACAGCATGTTTCAGTTTTTTGACTCTTGATATTTTCTTTATAGAATTGCCACGCCCTTTTTTGTTTTCAAACTTGACCTTTACAGAAAACATAAATAAGTTAAATCCACCATCTTTCGCGACTGTAAGATCAATATCTTCTAGAAAATAGCGCAAATAAAGTTTCATTTCTCGTCGGTTGAGGTTTGGCTATTGAAGTAAGCGAATTATGATTATTTAAACTACTGAACTTATACCTTTGATTACTTTTAAGACCATAAATGTCAAATTCATTTTCTGGATATGATGAAAATACGAAGATCAAGCTGTTGTGCAAGCAAAGTTGTGATGTCTGGCAAAGAGTGCACGAAAATCAATCAATATATGTATATATATATTTATATATATACAAATATATAAATATAATTAGAATGATGTTGTTTGATATAACAACCTTTCAGACTTTCGATTTTCAGCTGTTAGCCGGAGTCTGAGGTGTTCAAAAGTCGAGGTATATCATTATATCTGTTAGTTTTTCTCAACTATAGTCTAAATTTTTAAACGTATTTACTAGAGGTTAAGCTGTAGAAATCTGAAAGAAGAACAAACATCTAATTTATTGTTTAGCTTAAGTATAGCAATAGTTCGATTGTTATCTTACTTCTAATAATCAAAGTCACTGCCCGAAATTTTTTTCGAACATATTGATGAAACATTAATGTACAGACCGTAGTAGTATGTAAGTAATAAATATCAAGAAGTTTTGTTTAAAATATTTGTCCAAAAAAAAAAAATGCATGTATTTACTAAGGAGGGTTTACAGAAAATTTTAAAAAATAATTAACAAATTTTCAAATCCTACTTACAAGGATTAAAAGTGTAGATTCTAATCTTCCAGTATTTTTATTATAGACATCACCGAAGGATAAGGGGTATACTCATTTTGTTAAAACGTTTGCAATGCCCAGAAGGAAGCTTTAGAGATCCCACAAAGTCTTGATTAGCATCAATTCTAGATTGTTTCAAGCATGTCCGTCTGTCCGTCCGTGTAATGTAAACATTCTCCTGGTTGCAAAAATGAAGATGTCGCCTACGCCGAAGAACTTGAAAATGAACCAAACCGGTCGAAGGACACACCTATAACGCCCTTAAACCTATACAACGAAAACTGCGAACATTTTTGTTTTCCGTGGTTTTCGCTCATTGTTCGTAATCTATAATAAAAACCCGATATTATTTTCCACTTTTATTCTGAAAATAGCAAAAATCAGTCACGCCCACGCAATGCTATGAAAATATAGTTTTTTTTTTCATTTTTTTAGTATTAGTTTACGATAATCATGCTGGGTATAGAAGGATCGGTCACAGCCGAATATAAGTTTCTTACTTGTTATTACATATTTCATATATATATCCATAGTGTGAAATATTTTGAGTCCAAAAATCCATTTTTTTATGTGTGCACAGAATTGATTTAAAGTAGAAAGAACAACATTTTATTAGCTACAGATTATGCTAATATACCAAATCTTTAATACCTGCCACCTGAAGCGTGCACATAGGAGTATCAGGATTTGGGACTTGATATTGTTTTTCTTTAAACTTTTAATGAATTCTAGTTAATTTTAGGCTTACAAGTTATACAAGTTTCGTAAGTTGTCCATTTCCCATTTGGAATCTGAGAATTCACTAAGAATGTACGATATATGTTAGATATCGACTTTCTGTCTGAGCCTTTGCAGTTGTTGGCCACCCGCGGAGAACAAAAGATGAACCTATGAATAAAGAGCATGTATATCTTGTGAGATTGCTAAAATGTGTTTTTGGACCAAATCTTACGTATATACGTTCTTCGGTGATGGATGTGGAAAGAGAAGATTAATATGAAGTATACAACTGTAACTAAAAAATGAGATGAATTTATTTACGCAATAAGAAATTTTTATTCATTCTTTCAAATCACTTCCATTGCCTCTACCGATATCCCTGCTAAGAGAAATGACGGAAGAAATTCAAATGGGGCACAGCAATAACGCGATAATCGACGATACCTGTCAATATGATCTTGAGTTTGACTTGAGCGACTTTAGAGGGATTTGCTCAGTCTTCGTTCATCTTCTCCGGATCAAATCTTGTGTATATACCTTCTGCAGCGATCGCTATGGAGATAATAGGGTCTTTGAAGGGATTTCCCCAATTTTCTTTCAATTTTGGCATGACATTCGCTCCGTCGAGCATGAAGCCAACTGTCTTGATGACATTCTGTAAGTCAGAAATCATTGTTCGAAAAAGCCAATTTTGGATGTTTACAGAAACACCTTTAACTCTATACAGATGTCAAAGATAGCAAAGTGCCAAAGCACAAAAAACGCACAAAAAAGTTGATCTTATTTTTTGTTCACAGTTTTATATGTATGTCTTATATATAATATTCATTCTGTGCATGAACTTTATATAATATTTTGGATATTCATATCTGAATTATCTAATCAACTATATAGAGTTATTTAATTTAATATTAAAATGTAATGAATTTTGTAATTTAATTGTAGAAGAATATCTTGTATACGTATCTTAAAAGACTATCAATCGAATTTTTTTTTTTTCTTTTTTTTTTTATATCCATGAGACAGGGTATATTAGATTTGTTAAATATTGGTAAGGCTTAATGGCTTAAAGGCATTATCAACTATATATATATATGTATGTTGTAAATGCGTATTCGTAGATAATAAAATGTTTAATATTATAATCACAATTTATTGAAATATTTTCAAGCTCAATTAAGCTAGTGATGCGTATAAAAAAAAAAATAAAAAAATAAATAAATAAATAAATAAATAATAAAAATAAATTCTGTCCAAGCTGCACATAACTATGTAGATCTTTTTTTTTTTTTTTTTCTTTTTATTATTACAATTGAGACTTGCTTGTACATGAAAATTCCTATAATGTATTGTGAGGCTTATTAGGATAAATTTAAATGCATTTATTATAAAAACATGTAAAATTGTAATCCGTCAATATATAAAATATTTGTAAATTTTAAAAGTTTTTAATTTTAAATATTTGATTAATTCGTTTTTAAACAAATAAAGCGTAAATATATTTCCAATCACTTTTTTTTTGCTTTCTCTCATTGAAGTTTTCTTTGAAAATGAGCATTAACAGTGGCAAGTATTATGTTGTTATTATCGCATAGATACTTAATATGGGAAAATGTGAACAACGGAACTTCTTCTTTCTTCTCTTTGCATGGAATGCAGCAATCGCGAATATTTTTATACCGTACACCACTTGCGGTACAGGGTAGATTGAGTTAATACGGACGTGTGTCACTCGCAGAAGAGCTTAAGGTAGACACAACTTTTATTATACTAGGCCTGTTTGTCCGTCCGATGTTTGCTCATGCTAATTTACGTTCATACAGTGAATCGACATATTTGTGTTGAGTTGTGAATGTGGTGTGTTGCGTCTAAATCGATTCAGAATCATTTTCTAAGTCTGTCTGTCCGTCCGTCCACATGAATTTGTGTTCAAGCCACGGATCGCAATCTTAGAGATAGTTCGATGAAATTTGGTACACTGACGTACTTCGATCCAAGGACGAAGGCTGTTGAAAATAGTTCGGATCGGTCCACTTTTTCGATCACTCCCC